CTTCAACAGCGCCTTTAAATTTGATAAGCAGGTTAGCACTGTAGTCAAGACCTGCTTTTTCAAAATACGACTATTGGCTAAGACCAAGTCGTTTTTATCTTTTAAAGACCTAGAAAGGGTTATTAACGCCTTTGTTACCTCGAGACTGGATTACTGCAACGCTCTGTATGTGGGTATGGACCAGGCCTCAATTAGACGCCTCCAGCTAGTTCAGAATGCAGCAGCACGTCTTCTCACTGGCCATAAAAAGCGCGACCATATCACCCCAATTCTGGCTTCATTGCATTGGCTTCCAGTTCGGTTCAGAATAGATTTTAAACTCCTTTTATTTGTTTTTAAAGTCCTAAATGGGCTGGCTCCTGCCTATATAGCCGAACTCCTCCATCGCTACACCCCAGGCAGAGCCTTAAGGTCGGCTGATCAGCTGTTGTTGATAGTGCCTAAGACCAGGCTTAAAACCCGAGGGCATCGAGCTTTCGCAGCGGCTGGCCCTAGGCTCTGGAATACTTTGCCCCTCCATGTGAGGTCGGCCGAGACCCTGGGGGTTTTTAAATCAACACTTAAAACTCACTTTTTCTCTTTGGCTTTTGTTTAATTATCTATTTATTCATTTATTTAGTTATTTATTTATTCATTTAGTTCTTTATTTTAATATGTATAACATAACATAGGATTTCATAAAGTATTTTTATAATAGTTTATACATTATTCAAATATAGGAATAGTAGATAGGATTACTTAAAATATAGTACCTTATATTTCATATTTTTTCCCTTTAGACCCTTGCGGTTTATTCTTAAAAATCCTTACCCTTACACACCCCCCCATCTTCCCTCTGCTGGTCTATGGTCTTGTAAAGGGTAATGGGGTACAGAGTGACTTAGATAAGCGGGGGAGTGCATCTGACGAAGAGATAGGTTGTTGTGCTCCCTATCTCTGTTTCTTATCCTATATCTAATAGAACTGCTCGGGTCTTGATATATTGAGTGGGGAAGTTCATGAGATCTTTCTAGAGGGTTATCAAGAATAACTTTTATCCAATGACCCTCTCTGTCTGTGTCTGTGTATTCTCTTGTTCCGATTAACCCAGCCAAATCTTTTTTCTTGTTTTGTATCTATATCTACGCCGGGATCCGGAGTCGAGGCTGATCCTCTTGCTGTAGTCCTGTGTCTTGGATCCTCTATCCTGAGTTCTGGATTAAGTCGTGGACTTCGGGTCGTGGCTGAACCTGTCTCTGCGGTTCTGCCTTGGGTCTCGTCATGCTGCTTCCCTGATGGCTTCCTCAGGATTGTAGCTGACATCCTCGTGGATTCATCTTCTTATTACAGACACATGCATTTCCTAACATTCGGTCTATATGCTGTAAAATGTATTATCTCTTCGATTTACACACGGCATCTATTGCACGTCTGTCCGTCCTGGGAGAGGGATCCCTCCTCTGTTGCTCTCCCTGAGGTTTCTCCCATGTTCCCCTTAAACTGTGGGTTTCTCTGGAAGTTTTTCCTTGTGCGATGTGAGGGTCTAAGGATAGAGGGTGTCGTTTTTCTCATACTGATATTCTGAACAATCTGTGCTGTTGTATTTGCTGTAAAGTGTCTCTACTGTAGGCTATTTTTATTTTATGTACAGCACTTTGGCTCGACCAAAAATCGTTTATAAATGTGCTATATAAATAAAACTTGATTTGATTTGAAGTACCTTGGAATCATTATTGACTCTAATTTAACATTCAAAACACAAGTCAAAAAAGTGACCCAAAGAGTCAAGTTTAGCCTAGCACATTTTAAATACATAAGAAACACAATGACATTGAATTCTGCCAAATGATACATGAATGCCATGATCATGTCACATCTCACATACTGTCTCACAAGCTGGGGGCAAACTAACAGCTCCACACTGACGCCACTAGCAACCCTGTACAAACAAACCCTCAAAGTACTGGACCAGAAACCTAACCGCTCCCATCACTGTACCATCCTCAACAAGCATAACATCCTGAGTTGGGAAGATTTAATAAAGTATAGGAACATCGTTCTGGTTTACAAAATCCTGCACAATACAGCCCCTCCACCTCTTAACTCATTGGTTACTCAACGTAACAACACCAGACTGACCACTAGCTCCACACGTGGCGACCTATCAGTCCCATTCAGGAAGAGTACTTTTGGTCAGTCATCATTCTCGGTCATAGCAATACAAAACTGGAACTCTCTACCCACTCATATCAAAGACATACACACACACACACACACACACACACACACACACACACACACACACACACACACACACACACACACACACACACACACACACACACACACACACACACACACACACACACACACACACACACACACACACACACACACACACACACACACACACACACACACACACACACACACACACACACACACACACACACACCACCTTCACAGCTCACTTAAAAACATGGTTCACTGAGAACTACACCTGCACACACTAGTCTGTGTTGAGTATGGCGTGAGTGTTACATGTTGTGTTACATGTTGTGATCATGGATGTTGCCCCTCGTTTGTGTTATGTGATTGTGATGTGCTCTGTGACATGTACTGTATATAGTAACGTGTGTTGTTTATTGTTCTCTTATCCTCACACCGGTATCTACTTGTCTTTCCTCCTTTTTATTTTATTTAATATATTTTCTTATAACTAATGCTGTTGATATATTGTAATTTTAAGGGTGTCTATTACCATCTGGCCGGGGACAACAGCTGGTAATTAGCCATGTCGGCTAAAGCTGCACCATTTACTGTTTTTGTGACAGTTCATCGATGGGGACTGTCCACGACACTATAAATAAATAAACTAAACTAAACACACACACAGAGGAGATGGCGGAGAGAACTCGCTCCGAAGTGTGGTTAAACTGTACCCGTCTCGATGCTCGTTGCCTAAAGTGCAATAAGAGTTTAGCATGTAAGGGCGGTAACACGAGCAATTTGTCTAAACATTTAGCAAAAGTGCTCCATATTCAGACGGAGGAATGCACCGGGTTCAACTGTCTTTCTAGCAGCTCTGTAGCGTCTGTAATGGACAGTGTTTCAATTCAGTTCATGTAAGCCTTACACACACATTCCTCTTTTGAGCGTCTAGTGATTATGGCCTGCATGTCTTTCTGTTCTAACTGAGCTGTCAGCTTCTTAGCAGTTTAGACAAACATCAAATTCATAATGTAGAGACGACTAGTTGGACAAAAATAATGCTTAACAACTGTTCCATTACTGTGTGAACTGTTTTAGGGGTCGACTGTATGAGATATCGTTCTCCCGCTTGCTGCTGGGTGCAGGTGAAAGTAGGGTGACAGTTCTGTTCACATCGCTGACATTTGTCACAGGTAAATCTTGCTGGTATGCAAGAAACATGACGTTGTTCAATGGTTGTCACACAGCGACAAGCTGGACACTGGATTTGTCGACACAGTACAAACCGAAAGTCGTACAAACCGTCAGCGAAATAAAGTTATGCACAGAGCTTACATACTTAATACTATAAACGCATATCTGCATGTGAATGCAGAAATAAACGTATCCTCGGAAGCATGGGCGTCGGAAGCAGGGGGGGGGGGCAAGGGTCGTCAGACTTCTGGGTCTTTTACAGCATTGCCATTATATCCTTGCCATTATATCCTTGCGTCTTGTTATCGAAAACCAAAACCGGACCGTTTTTTTAATTAGGTCTTCTTGTTATCCGTTTTTTTATTCAGACAACAAAAACGGCAAAACGGCTTTGATTTCCCATTTTCTTTTTTTGATTTAAAACTAAAAAAAGGCTGGTATTTGAACTAACAAAACGTACACGGACATTTTTTTAATTAGGTTTTCTCGTTATCCGTCTTTTGATTCAGACAACAAAAAACGGAAAAAGGCTTTGGTTTTCCGGTTTTTCGTTTTAAATAAAAAACGGAAAAAGGCTGGTATTTTCGTTTTTTGGCTTTTGGTTTAAACGAAAAATCAACCTGACAAAACGTACATGGACCCCAATGTCCCCCCTGCTTCCGGCGCCCTTGTGTGCATGCCTGAGTCATGGTAAGATATCTGGATATCTAGTTACAAGTCAGACTTGTATATATATATATTGCTCGCATAAAATCCCCGGGGTTTTTTGCTTCGTATGTCGGGGGCGGGAGATTCATGTGATTGGTTGTTGGTCGCAAAAAATCCCCAAGCTTTCAGACACGCCCAGCTCCAAGATTTTCAAGATTTTTGAAAAGCTGCTGTGTGGACGTACCGTTACACGTCTAGCAACAATAATGTCCTATGATTGAAAATTGGCCTATAGATGTCTTCTCATCAATCTTTTGAAGTTTTGAAAGGTTTTGACCACGTAGAGGCGAGTAACAGCGGTTTGTTGCTGGTGGTGAAGGATTGAAAGCAGCCAAGCTGTAACACCCAGACACACAACTTTCACTATCACTTTGTTAAAGCATATAGATCTACAGATCAAGATTAAACCAGAGATTCTAGACCATTTGGATTTAGACCACTTACAAACCAGTGCCAGTTTTGCCATGTTTCACATACATGTGAGATGTTGGCAGTAAAAGACCCTCCCCACTTAACTTCTCCCATGGGTTTATTTAAATAACAAGAGAAAAACCCCAAAGAAGAACAAATAAGAGAAGATCTTTGTTTTCCCTTCTTTCCTTCCTTTAAATCATCACATTACATCTCAGATGTATCAGAGAAAGATGTGATAAGTTAGTATTAACCCTTAAGGGTTCTAATGATTGCTTGTAGTCAGACTGCTGACAGACTGCAGAGCAATGTTAGTCTGAGATAAGAGAGCAGCTGATAGTCACTACAAGCCTCATCAATAAACGGAGATAAGACACAGGCCATCCCACTGAAATAACAGGGACATACATTTAAGGAAAGAGAGGTTATGTTTGAAATTATTAGAGTTTCATATTTACTTACTTTTATAAAAGAGTAATGTTTAGGGACAAGTTTACTCACAGTGTCACATGTGTTTTAATTGTGTTGATATGAGATTTTCTAGAGACGGTTGCAACTAAAAGATTACTTGACATGTTTTATGCAAATAACAATATGTCTCCAGCTCACAGTTTGGCACACAGACAGAAGAAACTAAGTAAAAAAACAAACGTTGCCTTTATACATAAAACTACAGAGCGTAGAATTACAAAAATCGTATGTACAGCTGGCCTCCGATAAACACTGTTCTTCAGACACACTGCCTTAGAGGCTTTTAGAGACTTAGCGTTAATACCTGTTTTAATCATTGGATTTCTTTTTAAATTCTGAAAATATATGAATCTGCAGTAGATTTATCCATTTTAAGAAACATGTACACCCGTTAAGGCATTTGAGACGTGAGCAGCAGCATGTGGAATGAGTTCATAGACAAGGTTTTGATTGACTCATCTGTGAATGTTGAGGTGTGTAAAGTGTTCACGTTGGTTCAGTGGTTCCCTTCAACCTGCAGTCACCAGAGGCTCGTTGTTCAGAGGGGTGGGGGCTTCCTGTATGTCCGGACCCCCAACACAACTGCACATCCTCACATCCAGAAGATCTGTTTCACTTTGCCGAAGAATGTCACTGAAGAAACAACTTCCCAGCCTTCAAAATGTGTTCTACTCCTCAACCACAGCAGCGTTTGGACAAAGTACAACACATCTTTTTTTAGCTTATAAAACCCTGGGTTTGTAAACTGATATTTAGTTCTGAGGCAGGAGGCAGTTTGAGAAATACTGCATAGTCCATTTCAGTGATTCAGCTTCCACTAAAGAGTCCATAAGAGGAGCAGGAGGGGGGGGAGCAGCAGAGAGAGCGGGGGTGCAAGGCCCCTGCAGGACGAAGAGCGATACCACTGCACCTCCTGAGAGTCATCTGGGAGAAGAAAGAAAAACAAACTCATTATTATCACCATTTGAACTTTCTGATTTGATCACTGCTTCACTCTGTGTTTATCAGATACACATTATGTGTTGTTAATGATCTATACTGCATCTGTTCATTTTGCTGCAATAACACTTTCCCAACAGGGAACGGTGTTTTGGTTTCTTTTATTATTTATGGTCAGGTTCATTTGGCATTCTTTAGTTCCTGGGATACATTTGACTGGAAGGCACACCATGAGAAACACTGTGTGACATGTACAAGTGAAAACAAGAAAAATATAGAGCAATACACAGATGAATATGAGAGACATGTGAACTCCCATACTAAAACTCACACTGGTAGAAAGAATCTGGATCCTTACTGATTGATCATATGATATGCGTTGTATTTTCCTATTTACAAATATGACATAGGATTTATTACAACACATTGCAAAATGTTAATAAGCGTATGATTAATAAATATGCAGAAGGTCACACTGATCATTATTTCCAGAGATACAAAAAACGTGTTGTTCTTCCTTGGGTAGGGGTACCATCATCTTTTAGGGGCTTAGTTCCTCTACTTTATGGGATGTTTGTGCTGAGAGTTCTGCATGTTGGAATAAAGCTTTGACATGTAAATGAGTAGTCAGGGCTGTTAAGATGCGTTCACACTCAGTGGGAGTTTTCTCTGAACACCTGGGGCATTTTCTGTTTTGGATCAAATGTGTGAACGACAGTTCTAGAGCAGCCTGCCTGCCTAACCCATCAGGCCGTTCACCTGAAACACTGCAGAGCAGGGGAACTCCCAGCTTGTTCCTGCGAGCACTGTGTCACGTTTATGCACACTATATGTACTGTATCTTCTTCATTTTAATACTGAGTCCCACACAACCCTCCAAATGTTGCATTGTTCACAAAGCTGCCTCTTAATACCGGCATGGCTTTCTCTTACCAATACTGTATATATATATATATATATCATTTTATTCTAAGGGTAGTTTGTCATATTATACTGTATGTAGTTTTTGGGTATATCTTTATGTCATGAAAATATTTCTTTATATGTTAACATTATAAAAACAATTTTTAAATATTTCTTACAATTTATCTCTTAACTATTTATGTTGCCCCATATACACCAAGGGAAATTCCCCATGTGTGTTTACCTACTTGGCAATAGACCGGTTTCTGATTCTGCCCTAAGTTTTTGTCTTTGCTGTGGGACATCCTAAAAACTCATGGTGTGGGGGTGTAACTTACCGCAGTCTTTGTGGAAGACGTGGGGGAAGCAGTGCAGAGCGCCGTAACCACAGCGACAGTACGAGCAGCCCTTCTGAACCCACTCCCCGTGAGGGATGGCCCCGCAGCTCCTGCAGGCACACAGAACATTTAGAACAACATCTCTGTGAGGGGGTGAGAGTGAGAGTGGGAGGGAGTGATGGGTGAGAGTGTGGGGTTTACCTGATGCGCTGGTCGTACTCGCAGCTCCTCCCGGTGAAGAAGGGGGGGCAGGCGCAGAAGCTGCCCAGGATGCAGGTCCCTCCGTTTTTACAGCAGCTGCGGCTCTGCTCAGCGCCTGAGAGGAAACACAGCATTAGAGGAAACACAGCATTAGAGGAAACCCCCACTACTGTAACCCTGCTGCCGTGTCCCACAAAACATTTTAAATCCAACTCAAATGGAAGCTTCCACATTCTACTACTAATTTACTAGGATACCATCTAAAAGTGGTGTCATCTATGCTTTCCCCCGCATTGTCTTTAGAAATGTTTTCCACATTTACAAGCACACACAGAAACAACACAAAAAACACTTGCATGACATCACTGCTGAGTTAGAACAAATGACCTACCAAAGACATTCTTTGACATGATAGCACTTAAATAAAGAATTACACTAAACGTAACGTACATTTAGGTAGACAATACAAACGATTGTATTAATACAAATAAAAGAGGATATTCTTCCTATTTGTTCAGTTCTTTAGACTTATGGTTTTCGTTTAAGGTTGTAAGTAAAAGAGAGGCCACTGTACCTCATATCAGCTTCTATAACAATGTGTTTAATTGTATTATTAAATTACTTACTTTCTAAACACATAATTATATTCTCCGGTAAAAAAAAACAAGCTTTTTTATATTTCATTATTTCTATGGGTTTTAAATGGTTTCCACTCATTGTGCTACTTTCTAGAGACCCCTCAGAGTGGCCGGGGGCCGCTGCAGGGCCCTCACACCTCAGCTTTAGCCTCTCAGTATCTGTGAGACAAACCAGAGTCTCCATCTGGCAGCACATTCCTGTCCTCTGCTTCTCATCAGCAGACAAACACAGAGAGTCAGAACCAACGTCTGAAAATAACAGGAACACACTAAAACTCATTAACCCCCCCCCCCGGTAGTCTGTCCTAGAGAGACTTTTTCTCATGGACTACTTCAATTTTACAAGAAGAATATGTTGTTTCCTATTTAATTAGCTGCATTAAAATAATATTATAATATTTTTTAATATACGAATTAGTATATACAGTATGCTGCAGTTCTATTTTAGCCAATCGCCGTGCATCTGTGTGACATATTAATGTAATGTTGAATTGAAAGATGTGAGACGTTACAGTACTTATAAAGCCCTCTCACATCATGAGCTCCACCGCCACATTCCCCACGTCTTGAAACAGCCTGACTATTTGTTTCTTATTTTACGATCTGAAGTGGAGGGGATGTGTTTGTGGTTACTGAGTGTGACTTACTTCCTGTGAGGCCGATGAAGGGTAGCACGGCGCTGGCGTCGCGGTGTTTACGGTCCCCGCTGTTTGGGGAGCTCACCTGGGTAAACTGACCCAGGAACTCCTGGGGGGGCTGCTGGGATTTGACCACCACAGAAGAAGATGGTGATGCAGACAAGGGAGATGATGGAGGGGTCTGGCCTCTGATACACTCGTCTCCCTCACAGTCTGAAATGATAAAACACAACAAGGTCACGTCTTCATCAAAAACACTGATTGTAGTGGAAAAGGGGAGGGGGCTCGTGAACGTCAGTATTTATTTCGGTCTTGCCCCAATAAGAACAGATAATCCATACTGTGTATCTGACTGTTTTTATGAGACCTGGTTGTTTTTCTGTTCATTTAAATCGCACAACTACTTAGTGTGTAAATTAAAACAATTTTAAAGCATTTGCTTGAATTTTGCAATCCATACAAAAATCTGAATTAGTTTATGTCAAAGGTGGAATAGCAAGAGAAAGCTTTTTTCAATTAAGAGCAGAGGTGGGAAGTACATTTACTATTCTGAGGTACGTGTACTTTACTTGAGTATTTCCATAATATGCTACTATACACTTCTACTTCACTACATTTAGGGAAATAATATAATTTTTTCTCCACTGCATTTATTTATTTATTACATTTAGCTTCTTTTAACAAATCGATCTCTAAACGTCACAAAAGAGTCCAATTATTTAAATATTCTACAAAAAGTCAATCAGCACTTTTTTTGTCTACAACAGTAAAATGCTACATAATGCAACAACATTATCTACAAATGTAACATGAATAAATATAATGATATACTTACGATTACTTTTACACTCTTAGATGTTGCACTTTAACAGATTAATACATATTGAATGCAGAACTTGTAATAGAGTATTTTGACAGTAATGTATTGGTACTTTTACTCAAGTGAGGCATCTAAATTCTTCAATTGTTCTTCCACCTCTGATTCAGAGGCACTGAGACAAGAGTTTCCGTAACAACAGACTTAAATCTCTTAAATGTTGATATGCATAGACTGTTAAAATTAATTAAAAAAACTCGGATTGTTTCTCAAAATAAATTAGCAGCCATTTCGGAGTGTGTGATGAGGAGTGTGTGTGTGTGTGTGTGTGTGTTAGCTTGTGTGTGATGAATGGACATACCTGCAGCAGGTGGAGCAGCAGCACAGAGCAGACAGGTCGCAGCACACAGCAGCACCCTGAAACACCATAACATCATCATGATAATGAGACACTGAGACCGCGAGGACAGACAGTCAGTCACGTGGTGTCCAGCCTTACCTGAGCAGCTGAGTCCATCCCATGTCCCTGCAGAGAGACAAACAAATCCACAAGGCGACACGTCTCCGCACACTAGCCCAGCCGGCTGAATAACTCAGTAAATCCTCAGACAAAGATTACAAACATTTGCAAAACAAAAAAAAGTAGTTTGCTGATTCCTCGATCCGAAGGTTGAGTTTCCATGAAGCAGTCGGGGTCATGAGAGGAACAGCTGAGATGAGGCTCGACTGCAGACAGGGACCTTTGCTCTCTCTGCTCACTCTCATAGGAGCCCGGAAGCCCCGCCCCCTCCCGCTCTCTGTTTCCGTCTGTCTCGTGCTCAGGTGGAATCAACAACAGCTATCTCAGCCAATGACAGCTCTGCATGCATCCCCTGGATATTATTTTATTAACTGCGTGTGTGAGTGTGTGTGTGTGTGTGTGTGTGTGTGTGTGTGTGTGTGTGTGTGTGTGTGTGTGTGTGTGTGTGTGTGTGTGTGTGTGTGTGTGTGTGTGTGTGTGTGTGGTACAGTGTGTAGATGCGGCGGACAGACAGGTCTCAGCTGGTTTGGTATCCTCTGCTTACTTTTAATACTTGTAAATAAAACTTTTGTGCTCATTGTAGCGACCAGAGGTGGGGGGGGGGGGGGGGGGGGGGGGTATCCAGTCTCTGATAGTGTTACATTATTATGAGAGTGCTCTCATACTTGTTTGATTCTGAAATTGTATATATTTATATAAATATATATATAAATATATATATGTGTGTCCCCGAATCTGTAGCCTGTTATTGTCTCATTATACCGCACGGTGAATGAATCAAAGTAAATATATAAGTGGTCATGAACACATCTGTCCATCAGACAGAGGGCTGCTGTGCCTCCTGTCATCATTAATGGACGTCTCTTTAAAATGACCACTTAGAGGAGAGGAGTTCTCATTTCTCTAACCGCCTGCTGCTTCCCCTCCTCTCTCCTCGGTTCCCCTCCTCTCTCCTCGGCTCCTCCGCTCGCATCTCCTGTGGGCGGGACTAAGACACGAGGATGGGAGTCGAGGAGGGGAATTAGTGAAATGAGAAAGGCCCACAGTGTTCCTTCAGAGGTGGAGAAGTACTCATATTGTGTCCTTGAGTAAAACTAGAAGTACCAGAGTGTAGGAATACTCTGTTACAGTAAAAGTCCTGCATTCAAAACGTTACTCAAGTAAAAGTAGAAAAGTATTCTCATCAAAATATAGTGAAAGTAGCGACAGTAAAAGTAGTCATTGTGCAGATTGGTCCATTTCAGAATAATATGATATGTTTTATAATGATTGATCATGAAAGTGTTCTCAAAGCTGGTGAAGGTGCAGCTAGTTTGAATGACTTTGTATACTGCAGGGTAGCTGGTGGATTTACTCCAGGTGGAACTAAAGTCTGATTTAAGAGTTGAGTGGAGTAAAAGTACAATATTTACCTCTGAATTGTAGTGGGGTAGAAGTACAAAGCATGACATCGAAATAAAGTATACAAGTACCTCAAAATTGTACTTAAGAACAGTATACTTGAGTAAATCTACTTGAGTAAATGTACACCACTTGTTCAGTAATGTCTCACAGCTCCTTTATTTACACATTGGTCTTTTATATTTGGACTCTGGTCTGTGGTTGTAACCATTTTGGTCGTCTGTCTTGGTATGTAGCCTCCTGTTTAAATGTGTCTCTGGTAGTTTGTATTGTAATGGTTGTCTTACACATTATTGTGTCTTGTACTGTTTTGAGCCACCACTTGTGAAATGGTGCATCTCAATGTTTATCCTGAGAGTATCCTTTCGGATTGCCTTCAACAGAAGGAAAACTAATTCAATTCCAAATGTATTGTTCTCCGAGCTATCTACAAGCTAATTATAGCAAAACAATTTAATTCAGGTAATGGTAATGTAAACCTAAGCTTTACATTAGTATTGCGTGTAACAGGACTGTGTTAGAGTTTCCTCCAGACAGCGGTGTTCTGTTTGCAGAACTCAGTCCAATTCAGTGTTAGCATTTCTAAACTGCTGTACAGTACAAATACCCAGAGTGAAGGGACATCTTTCATCTTTTGGGAGGTTTTTTCCAACCTGAATACAAAGTAAGAAGGAAATGATGAATGTATGTGACCACCAGCAAATAGGAAGCTCTGTTGCTCCTGCCCCCACTTCTTCTTCATGAGAAACATGGACTCTTCTTCAGATGTTGGTCAGTCCTCCCCCTCTCTCTCACCTTGCACCCCCTCTCTGTGTCTCTCTCACTGCCCCCCCCCCCCTTCATATACACATGTATGATACCCTCCCTCGCCCATCCAGTCCTGTTCACATGTTAATGAAGGGAGTCTGTCTCCTGCTAACCACCCTCATGTTCTGCCTCTCTGTGTTTCCAGTTTACATACAGGCCATCCTCTAGTCTAAAGCACAACTTTATACAGTATTATATAATGGGACAGAAAATGTAGCTCCCAATCCCTTTACTCCCTCCATTTTAATAATACTTGGTTTGTATGGAATCTTTAAATGTATAAATATGTTTCAGAATATTTCCTGGATTGTAATACTATACATTATATTATATATAATATAAAGAAACTAGAGACAAAGCTATTTTGTTGAGGTGAAATTGCTTATTGCCATTTGAAGCAATAACAAAACACATTTAATACTCATATCTAAACCTTTATAACTTTCCTGCCTGATCCGACACAATGTTTCACGGTTCAATAGTTGACAAATTTATTGGAGACTCTCTTACAGGTGTAGGTTATTTTCTTATCAATGTGTATTATTGTACCATTACGTTTTATCCAATTAGGGACTTTCTTTTTTAACAAAACCCTTGAAACTGCATTAGTAACAGCACACTCACATGCTTTTATCATCTGTCTGTTTATTTTCACCCCTCCTAAAGTGCCTTATTACCAGCCTGTGACTACCTCATTCACATAATAAGCTAGCATTAGAGACAGAATGGACTAGCCCCTAAAGAAAGAATAAAACATTATGTTCTTATATCAATAAACGTCCTTGTTTGTTATATTTTTTCTAAATCTTCCTCCTACAGTTCAAAACATTGACGCCTTAAAGTGGAGCGGAAGTGCTGATAAGCCCCGTATCTGTACCAAGACATGAGTGATTTACGTTTTAACAAAAGCTTAAAGTGGACCTATCATGCTATATTGGACAAATATATTGTAGGGCCATACCTATACAAAACATGTCTGTGAAGTTTGTTGCTTAAAATACCAAACAGATCACCCATTGTAGCCATGCCTCATACTGCTCATACCCCTCTTTTGCAGCCCTGTTAGAGAAACGCGGATTTTGGGTCCTTAGCTTGAAAACAAAAATAAGAGGAGGCGGAGCTAATACCTGATCAGAATTCTACCGGAGATAAAGTTAAATTCTGCTGTGATAAAACGTCATCCTGTTCTAAACCACATCAAAGATAATTTCTTAAACAGTATGGAGCTCAAATGCTTTTTCTCTTGCAGGTTTATCACAAGGTGAGTTCCTTTTTTTATTTCCTGCTTTTTAAACACATGTGCTCTCCACAGTACAGGTTAGCTCTGAGTGTTAGCGAGGCTTGCTAATGTAAACAAAGACGAGATTACGTCCAAAACACGTCAGGCAGGGCTCGAGTTTAAGGACGTCCCGCCTTCCCGGGGCCGAAAAAAATGGTGTCGGGGAGGATACAAAATTATTTTGGGACGAATTTGGGACGAGAGTTAAAATAAAAATACCCTGCTAACTCTACTACAAACGGCGATGAAAATGAAACCGACTGCACGTTTTGTGTAGCACACAGTTATTAAACCTCCTTGTCAACATAAACACACACGCACAAAACATTTAGCAGCCAGCGGAATACACACACACACACACACACACACACACACACACACACACACACACACAGCTGTGCCCGCGAATTCCTGGCCCCGAATTTGCGGGTCTAGCTATGTACTGAGTGTGTGCAGCGCCATATATCTATTATATGGCTCTGAGTGTGTGTATTTTGCGGGTTGAGTGATGTACAATGGCATCCCGTGGAGGAATTCTGAAATGTTTTAACGTTAATCACAAAAACGCGCAGCAGAACCAGACCCTGGAGCGCCGGCCTCTTTATTTACTTACTCCTCTTCATCCCTTATGGGTAATAAGGCTGAGATGAGAACCCTCCATCGTATTTAGTCCTTAGCAATATGCTGCGCCTCTCCCCATGTAGGGATGGGAACCGAGCCCCGGTATTAAACGGGCCCCGGGCCGGAATTATTAAAGACAGTGGTAACGTTAAGCTCCGACGTTATCGGACTTTTTATCGGTAGGCCTACTGGAGACATTTACAAAATATATGTCATATTGATACATAAACATTATATCGCAGTTTTAGTTTCACCAACTCCGTTTCTAATATGCAATATTAAGACTACAACATGCGTCTATGATGTATTTTCGAGCTTTCCAATCCAGATGAGATCTCTCTCTCCCGTCTGTGTGCGAGGGAGCGGGGCCGTTTGTAAAGGTCTCCTGACTGTGTTACAGACTGTCATCCTGGTTAGTGGTTACTCTGGGTTCTGTCTTCAGGACAGAGTGTTAGATTTTTTTGTTAGTTCGATGGGACTTTATTGGATTCAATATTAGAGTAATTTTCTCGTTTGTGTGTTTTTAAAAATATATTTGGCCTTTGTTTCTGTGTTTGACTGATTTCCTCAAATAAAAAGGTTGATGACTTATCATCTAGATTTGTATGATGTTTTATTTATGTTAAAGGTCACTTTGAATGATTTTAACTAATGATAATGTAGAAAAACTAATATTTTAAATTCGGGACGGTCCAGATTAATTTCGGGACGGCTTAGATTGTATTTCGGGACGGTTCCGGGAGGATGGTGAAAAAAGTTAGTCAAGAGCCCTGACGTCAGGCATTGTTTCTGATGCAATTTTCTGTGGGTCCAAATCTGTATCCGCTCGTTGTACACCTGTTTTTAAAAGATTTGGGTACAGAGGAAAAGAGAGAGGGTTTTATTTTCTGACGCTGCGTGAGTTCCCCGACACACCGGGGACACATATTTATGTATAAAAGACATCACAAAGTGCATTTTGCATGATAGGTCCCCTTTAAAGCTTAAGGCCCTGACACACCAAGCTGATTTCGGCCGTCGATAGATGTCTGGCCATCGATGAGCGTCCTGTCGCCCTACTCAGATTGGTGTGTCCCGCACCGTCGTGTCTTTTCGGCCGTGCCGACACCTTCCGCCCCCGATTCAACATGTCGAATAGTGATGGGTCTTTCGCAAACGATT